TTTCAGCACATGACAAACATTACGTGGATTACAAATCTTATACCAGTGGTCTCCAAACTGGGGCCAGAAGCAGCCCTTTGATTGTTTTTATCTGGCCCTTGGGGCATTTTTCCCCCCACCATCAGCAACAGTATATAATTCCCGCCACTGACACCAATAATGAGGCACTATTTCTTCCACTGACACCAACAATGGGCATTATTCCTCCCATTGACACCAATGATAAGGTACTATTCCATCCACTGACAACAATAATGAGGCATTATTGCTCCCACTGACACCAATGATTGGGCACTATTCCTCCCACTGACACTAATGATGGGGCACTGTTCCTCTCACTGACACCACTGACACCAATGATAGGGCACTATTCCTTCCACTGACACCAATAATGGGACACTATTCCTCCCACTGGTACCAGTGAATGGGGCACTATTCCTTCCATTGATACCAGTGATGGGGCACTATATCTCCCGTTAATACCAATGATGAGGCATTGTTTACTCCCACTGATGCCAGGACATTTTTTGCTGCCACTGGCCACAGTCCCCCCCCCCCCCCAAGGACAACAAACTGGCCCTTCATTTATAAAGTTTGGAGACTCCAGCCTTACACCAGTATTAGCCCTATCCTGAAGGGGGGGGGGCAGTTTGCCATCTTTGCTCTGGGCACTGGATAGCCTTGTCCCAGCACTGCACATAACTTAAATACTGTAGATAAAAATGTGATCAAGATTTAAAGCAATTCCTGCAAGTTCAAAATTGGTAATTGTGCTATGAATTCAAGTTCACTGAAATGCTCACCCCAGTGCTCAGAGACATATTAGGTAGTTTTGGGTGTGACTGGACGCACTGTCAGATGCACTGGACTGGATGCACTATCTTCATATGTCATTGGGCATCAGCTGCCATCAATTGGTTGTAGCCCCCCTTTGTCCAATCTTTGTACTGCAACCCCTCCAATATACAGTATCTCACAGAGGTGAGTACACCCCTCACATTTTTGTAAATATTTTATTCTGTCTTTTCATGTGACAACACTGAAGAAGTGACACTTTGCTAAAATGTAAAGTAGTGAATGTACAGCTTGTATACCAGTGTAAATTTTCTGTCCCCTCAAAATAACTCAACACACAGCCATTAATGTCTAAACCGCTGGCAACAAAAGTGAGTACAACGCTAAGTGAAAATGCCCAAATTGGGCCCAATTAGCCATTTTCCCTCCCAAGTGTCATGTGACTCCTTTGTGTTACAAGGTCTCAGGTGTGAATGGAGAGCAGGTGTGTTAAATTTGGTGTTATCGCTCTCACTCTTTTCATACTGGTCACTGGAAGTTCAACATGGCACCTCATGGCAAAGAACTCTCTGAGGATCTGTAAAAAATAATTGTTGCTCTACATAAAGATGGCCTAGGCTATAAGATGATTGCCAAGACCCGGAAACTCAGCTGCAGCACGGTGGCCAAGACCATACAGTGGTTTATCAGGACAGGTTCCACTCAAAACAGGCCTCGCCATGGTCGACCAAAGAAGTTGAGTGCACGTGCTCAGCATCATATCCAGAGGTTGTCTTTGGGAAATAGATGTACGAGTGCTGCCAGCATTGCTGCAGAGGTTGAAGGGGTGGGGGGTCAGCCTGTCAGTGCTCAGGCCATACACTGCACACTGCATCAAATTGGTTTGCAGAAGGAAGCCTCTTCTATAGATGATGCACAAGAAAGCCCGCAAACAGTTTGCTGAAGACAAGCAGACTAAGGACATGGATTACTGGAACCATGTCCTGTAGTCTGATGAGACCAAGATAAACTGATTTGGTTCAGATGGTGTCAAGCGTGTGTGGAGGCAACCAGGTGAGTACAAAGACAAGTGTGTCTTGCCTACAGTCAAGCATGGTGGTGGGAGTGTCATGGTCTGGGGCTGCATGAGTACTGCCGGCACTGGGGAGCTACACTTCATTGAGGGTACCATGAAGCATGTACTGTGACATACTGAAGCAGACCAGGATCCCCTCCCTTTAGAGACTGGGCCTCAGGGCAGTATTCCAACATAATGACCCCAAACATCCCTCCAAAATGACCACTGCCTTGCTAAAGAAGTTCAGGGTAAAGGTGATGGACTGGCCAAGCATGTCTCCAAGACCTAAACCCTATTGAGCATCTGTGGGGCATCCTCAAACGGAAGGTGGAGGAGCGCAAGGTCTCTAACATCCACTAGCTCTGTGATGTTGTCATGCAGAAGTGGAAGAGGACTCCAGCGGCAACCTGTGAAGCTCTGGTGAACTCCATGCCCAAGAGGGTTAAGGCAGTGCTGGAAAATAATGATGGCCACACAAAAATATTGACACTTTGGGCCCAATTTGGACATTGTCACTTGGGGTGTACTCACTTTTGTTGCCAGCGGTTTAGACATTTATGGCTGTGTGTTGAGTTATTTTGAGGGGACATATGGTGATCATACCCCCCTTATGTATTATACATGGAGATCATATCCCCCCTTATGTATTATGCATGGAGATCATATCCCCCCTTATGTATTATACATGGTGATCATATCCCCCCTTATGTATTACACAAGGAGATCATACACCCCCTTATGTATTACACAACGAGATCATACACCCCCTTATGTATTACAAAAGGAGATCATACACCCCCTTATGTATTACACAAGGAGATCTTTTCCCCCCTTATGTATTATACATAGAAATTATGTCCTCCCTTAGGTATTAAGCAATGGAGATCATACCCCTCTTTATGTATTATACAAGGAGATCATATCCCCCCTTATGTATTATACATGGAGATCATATCCCCCCTTATGTATTACGCAAGGAGATCTTATCCCCCCTATGTATTACACAAGGAGATCATATCCCCCCTTATGTATTATACATAGAAATCATGTCCTCCCTTAGGTATTAAGCAATGGAGATCATACCCCCCCCCCCCTTTATGTATTATACATGGTGATCATATCCCCCCCTTATGTATTAAACAAGGTGATCATATCCCCCTTATGTAATATACATGGAGATCATATCCCTCCTTATGTATTATACATAGAGATCGTATCCCTCCTTATGTATTATATATGGAGATCATATCCCCTTTATGTATTATATATGGAGATCATATCCCCCTTATGTATTATACATGGAGATCCTATCCCCCCTTATGCATTATACAGAGTGATCATATCCCCCCCTTATTCAGTGTCAGGAGATCCCCCATTACTACACATCTACTACTCAGTGTCAGGAGATCCCCATTACTGCACATTTACTATTCAGTGTCGGGGGATCCCTCCATTACTACACATTTACTATTTATTGTCAGGAGATCCCCATTACTGTACATTTACTATTCAGTGTCAGGGATCCCCCCATTACTATACATCTACTATTCAGTGTCAGGAGGTCTCCCTATTACTACACATCTACTATTCAGTGTCAGGGGTTCCCCATTTCTACACATCTACTATTCAGTGTCAGAAGATCCCCCATTACTACACATTTACTATTCAGTGTCAAAGGATCTCCCACTACAACACATCTATTATTCAGTGTCAGGGGTTCCCACCATTACTACACATCTATCTAGTGTAAGGGGATCCCCATTACTACACATCTACTATTCAGTGTCAGGGGATCCCCGTTACTACACATCTACTATTCAGTGTCCGGGATCTCCCCATTATAACCCAACTACTATTCGGTGTCAGGGGCTCTCCCCATTACTACACATCTACTATTCGGTGTCAGGGGATCCCCCCATTACTACACATCTACTATTCGGTGTCAGGGGATCCCCATTACTACACATCTACTATTCCGTGTCAGGGGGTCTCCCCATTACTACAAATCTACTATTCAGTGTCAGGGGATCTTCCCATTACTACACATCTACTATTCAGTGTCAGCAGATTCCCCATTACTACACATCATCTACTATTCAGTTTAAGGGGATCCACCATTAATACACATCTACTATTCATTGTCAGGGATCCCCTATTACTACACATCTACTATTCAGTGTCAGGGGATCTCCCATTACTACACATCTACTATTCAGTGTCAGGAGATCCCCCATTACTACACATTTACTATTCAGTGTCAGTAGATCCCCATTATTACACATCTATTGTTCAATGTCAGAGGATCTCCCCATTACTACACATCTACTATTCAGTGTTAGTGTTAGTGGTCCCTTGTGATGGGAGTTACTTTGGGTGGGGGGGCCTATGGAACCCAGCTCACTTTGGAGAGGTGGGGAGACCCCTGTCTCAGCTCCCCATATCCCTGTCATGTGTAAATCACCCTGTGTCTGTTAGGGGTACAGGGTGATCTGTCCTAATATTGTGTGGGCTTTGTCTCAGACTGTGTAGAGATGTTTAGGAGATAGGTGGGGGGGGGGGGTTGTTGATTGTTTAATGTGATGTGGCTGCATCCCATTGTTCTATTGTTTTCCTGGCTTGGGAGCAAACTATTATGGGATGTGTGTGTTTTATGTGTATTGGCTTAGTGGGGGGGGGGTGTCTCCAGCAGCCCTCCCTCCTGATGGGACTGTCTGCTGGTGTAAAGTTTGAATACCTGTGTGTCTCTTGTTACTAAATGTAGATTGTCCCGCACTGTGTCATTATGCAGGGAAGGGGGGATTTGAATAAAGTAGTCTTCCTCCTGGTTTACTTGAAGACTAGTGCCGTCTAGTCTTGTATGGTAGGCTGTGGTGTCTGTTGTCGTGTGTTTGGACGAGGAAGCTGCATTCTAATGGAAGTACTCAAGCGCAGTTTGGGTCAGTTCCGTTACATTGGTGGCAGTAGTGGGATTGTGTTTCCTGGCTGTGAACACGTCCAAACCACCACTGGGATTCAAGATCAGGAAAGTAGATGTCGAGTTCCCAGGGCTGCTGCGTATCTTTCTTGCAACATACCCCAGGACTATGTCTGCGGATGAGTACCTGTAGCTCAGGCAGCGGATTCGGGTAGTGCTTTGGAGTAGAGCCCTCCAGGTTGTTGGTATGTACAAGGGTAAGTGCTATCAAACCCCAGGGGAATGGGCCAGGGACCAACGGAAGTTATGGATGCCATTCCTGGGAGAGCGACCCCAGGAGCAATGGGTGACTGAGTTGGACAGGCTGGAGATAGAGCTGCACAACCGATATCAGGCTCTGCATTGGCACACAGAGCAGAAATATTTAGGGGTGACAACAGAATGTTCTCTGGAGAGATATGACCTTGGTGGCCCTGCATTGCTGTGGGAGAGCATTACAGATAATTTTGTGTTTGGCGATGAAGGAAAACTTACCCTTGAGGACCTGCGAAAAGACAGAGAGATTATGTTCAGTCTCAGAGGGGTCTCAGAGCTTGAACCAGATCTGGAATACCTGCTGATGAAAGATCAGCATCTGGAAAGGGCATACAGGCAACTGCTAAAACATGTTCAGCAGCATGCCCAAGAATCAGCAGTGGGAATTCCAGAGATTGCCGTCCCCAAACCTGAAGTGCTGACAAAAGGGCAGAGCTCTGCTAGCCTCTGCCCAGCACTGGTAACATCTTCTGGGTTCCACGAGCAGAAGATGGTGAACACTTATCCCCAGACACCAGTTCCAGACACTGGGGATTTGATTAACGTTTCTGCTGAGGAGGAACCAGCCTGTGCGCCTCCAGCAGAAGAGCTGGCATCTGGGTATGGCGTTGCTGACCTCTGCCCACAACAATCAGCACCGCAGGAACTACAGGAAGAGGATGCAATAGGCACCTCAAAACTGCAGCTTGAGCTGATGTCCATGGATGAGACTTTGGCCTCCACTGACATAACCCCAAAAAAGGGTCTGGCATTGGGACAGGAGGATGTCAGCTTTAATTTGCAAACACTGGGGGATGTCCATCTAGTCAAAGTGGATGAGACTACATTCACCACCTGGATACCCCAGGGATGCTGGCCAGTCGGCCAGATCCCCAACAGCATGATGGAGTTGGCCCAGCCACCCTGTCTTCTCTCCAGCAGCTGAGAGGACTTCAGGGAGAAGGAGCAGTCCATACTTCTACCCAGTGGTGGGTATGTTCTACGAGAGAGGCAGAGGTTGGCTGGGTGAGTAATGCTTTGGGTGGGACAATTTGCTTGGGGTACTGTGTGGGTACTGGCATTGGGGGACTGGAAGTGCAGACTAACTTCGGAGTCAAACCCGTTTGGGTTCTCCTCCTGTGTTAGTCCCCTGCCAAAAAGGGAGATATGGGAGTCACTTTGGGTGAGGGGCCCATGGAACCCAGCTCACTTTGGAGAGGTGTTGAGACCCCTGTCTCAGCTCCCCATATCTCTCTGATGTGTAAATCACCTTGTGCCTGTTAGGGGTACAGGGTGATCTGTCCTAATATTGTGTGGGCCTTGTCTCAGACTGTGTAGACAAGTTTAAGAGATAGGTGGGGGGCTGTTGATTGTCTAATGTCATGTGGCTGCATCCCATTGTTCTATCTGTTCTGTCTGGCTTGGGAGTAAACTATTATGGGATATATGCTTTTGCGTATTGGCTTCGTGGGGGGGGGGGGGGGGGTCTCCAGCAGCCCTCCCTCCTGATGGGACTGTCTGCTGGTGTGAAGTTTGAATACCTGTGTGTCTCTTGTTACTAAATGTAGATGCCCCGCCCTGTGTGATTATGCAGGGAGGGGGGATTGTCCCCTGAGTGTATATACCTTGTGTCTATGTTCAAATAAAGTAGTCTACCTCCTGGTTTTCTTTAAGACTAGTGCCGTCTCGTCTTGTATGGTCTGCCGTGGTGTCTATTGTCGGTGTTCAGACGGGGAAGCTGTATTCTAACGGAAGTACTCAAGCGCAGTCTTGGTCGGTTCCGTTACATCCCCTGTTACAACACATCTACTATTTGGTGTCAGGGGATCCCCCTATTACTATACATCTATTCAGTGTCAGGGGATCTCCCCATTACTACACAACTACTATTCAGTGTCAGAGTATGTCCCCATTACTACACATCTACTATTCAGTGTCAGGGGATCTCCCGATTACTACACATCTACTATTCAGTATCAGGGGATCCCCCCATTACTGCACATGTAAAATTTAGTGTCAGGGAATCCCCCATGGCTACACATCTACTATTCAGTGCCAGGGGATCTCCCCATTACTACACATCTATTCAGTGTCAGGGGGACTCCCCATTACTACACATCTACTATTCAGTGTCAGGGGGACTCCCCATTACTACACATCTACTATTCAGTGTCGGGGATATCCCCATTACTACACATCTACTATTCAGTGTCGGGTATCCCCCCATTACTATACATCTATTCAGTGTCAGGGGATCCCCCTATTACTACACATCTACTATTCAGTGTCAGAGGGACTCCCCATTACTACACATCTACTATTCAGTCTCGGGGATCCCCCATTACTACACATTTACTATTCAGTGTCAGGAGATCCCCCATTACTACACATCTACTATTCAGTGTCAGGAGATCCCCCATTACTACACATCTGCTATTCAGTGTGAGGGGATCCACCTATTACTATACATCTACTACTCAGTGTCAGGAGATCCCCATTACTACACATCTACTATTCAATGTCAGAGGATCTGCCCATTATTACACATCTACTATTCGGTGTCAGGGGATCCCCCATTACTACACATCTACTATTCGGTGTCAGGGGATCCCCCATTACTACACATCTATTTAGTGTAAGTGGATCCCCATTACTACACATCTACTATTCAGTGTCAGGGGATCCCCCATTACTACACATCTATTTTGTGTAAGTGGATCCCCATTACAACACATATACTATTCAATGTCAGGGGATACCCCATTACTACACATCTACTATTCAGTGTAAGAGGATCCCCCTTACTACACATCTACTAATCAGTGTCAGGAGATCCCCCATTACTACACATCTACTATTCATTGTCGGGATCTCCCATTACTACACATCTACTATTCGGTGTCAGAGGATCCCCTATTACTACAAACCTGCTATTCAGTGTAAGTGGATCCCCCCATTACTACACATCTATTTAGTGTAAGGGGTTTCCCATTACTGCACATCTTCTATTCAGTGTCGGGGGATCTCCCATTACTACACTTCTATTTAGTGTATGGGGATCCCCATTACTATACATCTACTGTTCAGTGTCAGGGGTCTCCCACTACACATCTAGTATTCAGTGTCAGGGGATCCCCCATTACTGCACATGTACTATTTAGTGTCAGGAGTCCCCCATTACTACATATCTGCCATTCAGTTATCGTATGTACTCTCCAGCGCTTCAGGAAATGGACAGCCAAAGGGAAGCCAAGGGGACAGGACAGAGATAACCAAAAGAAGATGCTTCAGGGGTGCAGCCCTCCTTAGACAGGGATATCAGCCACTAGATAAAGAATAATCGGGTGGTTCACACACCTAGTGTATTATCCAAGGTTTATTCAAAGGTATAAAAGACAAAAACATACAAAGCATGTATAAAAAAAGCTTTTGCATTAAGAAGATGGCCACAATGGCAAGCAATGTGTTCCAACTGTCAGTGCGGTCAAATGGCTGACGCATTTTGCAGATGAGTCCCTTTCCTCAGAGCTGCTGACCAGCCTGTATGAAGGTCAAGCTGTAAATAACCATGGCTGAATACCTTGGGAGCCAAAGCTCCACCTCCTCCACTTATTAAAGAGTGAGGCGTTAGAGGGGGTGTAACTTCATGTTAGGGTGTCGCCAAGCAAGAATTTTTAGATGAGACGCCGAGTCCAAATTGATTAAAGAAAGGTGCATTTACTACACTGCAGTGGAGATAATATAGCATACAAAAGTTCACCTCATGTGAGATGAAATAAGGTAATACAAAATATATATCTGTCTCTTAAGCTTTAGACTATTACATATATAGACATAAATTCTAGGCGTGATCGTTCAGAAGTTCAGGTTTGGTCATATGGTTTTAATCCAATAAAAATCTTCATATGTTTAACAGCAAACTCAGAGTTAAGTGCAGGTTACTAGCACATGGTCAGTCCAAAATAGATGGTTCCTGGTTCAAACTGGTTTGACCATAAGATGCTTTTCTTATACTTGAAAGAGGAAGTCAACATATTTCCAGCCGGCTGGGTTTACGTCTCAGACATACTTCAAATCACATTTCCTGAGAAGAAAAAAAGGAACTGCAATAAAAACTCTTAATATATAAATAAAAATAAAAAAAAAATAATAATATATATATATATATATATATATATATATATATCTCAAACATTCATTATCAGACCCCTATATTTCTACTCAATTCTCTCCTCTTGACCCCCCCACTCCTCTTGACCTCACCACTATGTTCCCTACCTAATATGACACCAGAAAGTCCACAGTGCTACTTCGCTGCTAAGTTGAGTAAAACTGCTTCTGAGGATTTATGTGGATAATATAAGTTTCACCCATTCACAACACTATTTGGCTCCATATAACATCTACTAGGTTAACACTCTATTTCTCTCCTTGGGGTCATCTTCCTTAGTTTAACTGTCATCGCAGTAATCTTTTGTATTCCACACTTAGTACACCTGGGAGGAAAAAAAACAAACAGGCAAGCAATCCTACAACTGTGGTTCCTATGAGCAAGAAGACTTTTATTCATTAGCAAAAAAATCTTAACAGAATTAAATGCACAGCAGACTAAATATGTATATTGCCTTAGTACTGGTAAACTTATAATCTTTGAGCTGCTAGCAAGTAACTTTTGCAGTTTCATATTTCTCTAGCTTAAGTAGATAGGAAGCACAAGATTTTAAGACAGGGAGGGGGGAGTTGGGTCTGTATGTGTCACTTGTGAAACTAAATATAGGAAGTGAAGTGGGGGACAACAAAACTCAGCAAGTTCTCCGTAATTTTTTTTTTTTTTTAAACAGAAACAAAACATCAGTTAGCACAGCTTCATTATAGATCACTGAGCCCAGGGGAGCCCTTAGGACATGGGAGGGACTAATGGTTTGTACTCCCACATGGCCATTACATGGGCTGCAGCCCTCCACAGTGGCTTCAATGAAACTCTGTATCATCCTTGTCCCAAGGGGTATCAGACAAGGGAGTATCATACAGGCCAATAATATCATTAATACCACTCCCAGTATGGCCTTCAACCCACTAGTGTTTGGAAACCAATCTCCAAACCAGCTGCCCACATTAAATTCATCCCATGTTTGCACTGGAACACAAGCAACTTTTCTCATTTTATCGGTGATTTCTTCTATTACCTTGCCATGATCATCTATCTCCAGACAGCAATTACTTAAACTGAACTTTTCACACACCCCTCCCTTGGCCACTAATTGTCTAAAGCAAGTCTGTTCTGATAAATAGTAGTGTGCAACTTAGTTCCTTGTTTGCAAGTAAATTAAAAGATTTTGCAGACTCATTGGTAATAATTCCTACAACAGTTTGTAGCTGAATGATCCGATTAATAATATAGATAGGGGTGTGGTAGCCATATGATCCATCCTCCACCCAGGTGGCAGGACCATAATACTGGATAATACTTTCGGGGGACCATTCATTTTCTTTCCAAACCCCTATCTCTAGGCCAGATGCCCTTCCTTTTCTCTGTAACTTGTCATATATGGGGACCCCCAGCTGCTCTCCGCTCCTTATGGGGAAGAGGAAGAATGAGGGTTTCAGTGTTCCTAAGACACAGGCTCCTGACCAGTCTTGGGGGAGCTC